ATCAGCCCTGCAAAAGTAGAACCTTTCATGTGAGTTGAATTTTTGGTTTCAGAGAAATATGCATCTTAGCCAAGATTGAGTAAATCTAAAGTCCACCACACCCGGCTAATTTTTTTATTTTTTGTAGAGATGGTGTCTCACTCTTCCTCAGGCTGGTCTCGAACTCTCGACCTCAAGTGATCCTTCCACCTCAGCCTCCCAGAGTGCTAGGATTATAGGCATGAGCCACCACACCTACCTACTAATTTTAATTCTTTATCAAAAATGTTTTATCCTGACATCCCTCCCCCATGCCCACCAAGATGCTGGCCACACAGAGAGGCTTTCCCACCCCATGGCTGGAATGTTCCACACTAATAATGAGAGTGAACCTACAATGACATGTTTGGACCTAGAAAGAACCTTGGAGACCATTTAGTCCAGTGGTTTTCAAGCTTTTTCTTTTTTTTAGTAGTACAATGCTTTATTCAATGAAATGTACATAGAACACTAAACTAAAAGACATAAAAGTGACGTTGTGGTAGTTCAGTCTCAGAGGCATCCTGTCTCCCAATCTTCCCCTCACCCCACTCAGCAACCCCGAAGGAACCATCTCATCGAAGCCAACCTCCTCATTTTAAAGGAAATTAGGGCCCAAACAGTTGAAATCACTTGCCCAAGGCCACGTGTGATGATTAGGAGTTGAAAGGCAGAGAGCTTGGCAAGTAAGCACAGACTCTGGAGCCAGAGAGCTTAGGTTTTAACTCCAGCTCGGCCACTTACTGTGTGACCTTGTGCAAGTTACTGAACGTCTCAGTGTCCTCATTATAAATTGGAAATGAGTGGAGTTAGGGTAAGGATTAATTATTAGTACATACAAAGCACATAGGACAGCGCTCACATACAGTCAACACCGTGGGCAGTAACAGTGCCTATGTGATAACTTGTGTCATTGACGGATCCTTTCCATTATAAATAATCATCAAAGTGTTGCTGTCCGGCAGACAGTGGAGATAAGCGCTAAATGTTCTGAGTGATTTTCTATCTCTAGTGGCACTTTGTGTCAGGACTCCGGCTGGCCCAACGTCAGGAGAATGCCTTTGCCATTGTCAATGCCGGGATGAGCGTGAAGTTTGAAGATGGCACAAACATTATCAAGGAACTTCAAATGTTCTACGGAAGCGTTGGCCCCACCATTGTCTCTGCAAGCCAGAGCTGCAAGCAGCTCGTTGGGAGGTACGCCATAGCACATCCAGAACATGAAACTCAGGCCTTTCTAGTGTTAATTTTTTAATGAAAATAGCACTTGGGGGATTTTTTCTGATTATAAAAAAGTATATATGATCATCTAGAAAATTTAAGCTCTGCAGAAAAACATAAAGAAAGTGCAAAGCCACCCAAAAGCCAACCCTTTCAAGCAGTGATTCTTTTATTGCAGGTTTCTGTAATAGGATTAATGCACAAATTACATGGTTTGAGTACATATTATCTTTAAATTTTCACTTTTAATTAACCTGCATAATAAGTCAATGTCTCTCATACTGTGTCCTAAGACATCTGAAAATGTCCTTAAACCACATAAAGAAGATGAAATATTCAAAAAGCTTAAATGGCCTGCCTTGTGTCACTGTCATTGTTTCTAGCATTTGAAAAGTAAGTTTCTAAAATTCTTCCAACTAGTGCTTTTACAATACTTTTATCCACCTGTACACGATTGTCAACAATAAAAACTTAACTTGAGTTTCTTCTCAGATACGAAAATAACTCCATGCTTCCAAAACAGTTATGTAGAAACTTTTATTTGGGAAATACTTTGCAACTATCTTCGATAATTCAGTTATTTACCAAATATTAATTCAGCAAAGTGTATGTGCCAGGCACTGGTCTAGTTGCTGGAGATACCACAGTGAACAAGATAGAAAAAGTCCCAGGTCCAGGAAGCTTTGGTTTTAGTTTTTTGGTTTTTTTTCTTACCCAACCTGTTTGAGGTAAATCAATATTCCCAATATTCCCACTATTCCCAACCAATGAACCTAAAAATAATAATAAAGGAGGACTTGGTAGGGAAAATCTAGGAACCAGTGCATCAGATACTAAAGAAAGTGTTAGGTTTGTTCTGGGTGGGAACCCGAAAAGTACGTATAGGACGGAATGTGGTTAATGGAAAACTTAAGCTTGTGAAACAATAGCCACAGGAGTCTGGAGAGTCTGAAGGTTGTAAATCTAACTCTGACCACAGACAGTTGTGGAGCACCGGCATTCCTATCCCCGCTGATAAGGACGAAGCTACCCACCCCACCCCCATCTCTGCAGGATGAGACCAACATAGGGGTCCCAGAAATTGGTTGTTTGATTACAGCGGCTGTTCTGGCCCAGTTGCTCACTCCCCCCAGAAAAACCCTGTATAAAACCCAAGACTTTCCCCTCCCTCATGGTGGATGCTCTTTCGGCCTCCACCCATCTGCACCCAGATGCTCAAAATAAACAGCATTTTGCTACACATGAAGCTTTGTGTGTCTTCCTCTTGGCTCTGGACCTAATAGAAAGCTAAAGAAATTTTTTGAGGATACTGTGTCTAGACTTCATAGGTGTACAGACTGCACTCCACCTTTCCTTGCCGTATCGGTTTAGTGTCTGTCTTTGCCTCTTTTGTGAAATGTTTATGTTCTTTCCTGCTAGGCAATGGGATGACCAAATGCTGACTGACGCCTGCCGCTGGGTCCTGGATGAGATTTACATTCCACCAGCAGCTAAGGGCGGCATGGTGGAATACAAGCGAACCCTCATCATCAGCTTGCTCTTCAAATTCTACCTCAAAGTGAGGCAAGGACTGAATAAAATGGTAACTGGCTTCCTGTTAATCTTGGTGCCTTGACATTCCGGGCATGAGTCTGCGCATGAAAGACTTTCCCTGTGTGGCTTTGATAATACATTGAGAGTACCTGGGCGGGGCCCTCAGGGGAGTGCTGCTGGCCTCCAACTCTTCCTCCTGGGCCTGCTTTGTTGCTGTCCCGCCCCCTCCCCTACTTCACACCTGGGCTGAGAAGGGGACAGCATTGTTACTCCATTTGCCCTCTAATATGCAATAAATACCAGGCTGACCTACAGTATTGAAAAGCCTTCTGTAAGCAAACTTTAAAATCTTTTCATTTGCCAAAGAAAAGTTTGTTATTAAAATACTTTAATATTTAGAAAATGTGAATAAGACAAAAGGAGGAGAAAAATCTTTTGTATTTCCATCACCCATAGATAACCACTATGAATATTTTGATGTGTATCCTTCCAAACCCTTCATTATGGACATGTATGTATATGTATAACTGTTTGGCGTAGCTTGTTTATTTCACTTAGTAACATAAACATCTTTCAGTGCCATTAAATATTTTTCAGTAATAACATCAAGACATAATGGTTGCATGGCATGTTTATGGATACATATACTATTATTTGATCCATTCCTGATTTTTAGACATTTAAATTGTTTCTAGTTTTGTGTTCACTATTTTTTTCTTACCTAGCCTAGTTTAAAATAAGCAGTGTTTCTCAGAATATGACCCATGATTGTGAATGTACCCTTGATAAACCACAAGGTGATCCCACAATGGCAGACAAACGACTACACCAACATTTCTTTTATGATTGACAGCTTTACCCTGTTC